GTAGAGTAGACTCATTGCTGTCACGGTTTTCCCCGCCTTCAACAATAATCCCTCTGCTGTTCTTGGAGCCACGGCTGGCTGCCTCGCTTTGTTCGGCAATCTCGTGTTCAGCGCCGCTCATAGCCGCATCTGCCAGTCGTCGGCCTGGCGTTCAATCTCATCACACCGTGTAGAGGAGGACACTCGCGCACGATATCGCCATCACCGGCTTGCTAGGCACGTGCCAGGCTGAAGACTTAGACCGCAGTCTGAGGTATCATTGTCTTCATGAGATCGCCGGCTTAGCCAACCGACAGGGCTTAGAGGCAACCCGGCTCAGGATACGGTTGGTCGTGCTTTCCCGCGCAAGGCTTTCCTGAGCTCGAGGAGTAGCTACTCGTCTGGTCCTAGCGTAGACGAGCTAGGCTGCTAGCTAACATGGTCTTCTTAGGTGGGGAAAAGGACCGTATTGCCGTGTATGTATGGTCCGTCCACATCTCGCTCCTAACTCCAGATTTGCGCAAAAGACGATCAACCGGGACGGCGTGCATGCCACAGAGGGATCGCCCTGACCTGGCACACTTCAGCTGAAGCCAGACAGTCGACACTGCCGTCGATCTCGCGACAGGGACCGGTGTTAGACAACACGACCAGGATTTCGACACCATCTTTGGCTCGTCCAGATCTAGGGACTTCCTCGAGACGACCGTATGGATAAATCCCTGCCCTGTCAGGCACCTTCAACTCCGAGTTTCCTGTTGTAGATCCCGAGGTTCCTCGCGATACTCGGCAGTGGACCTGCGGGTTCGCCTCACCCACTTGCCAATCTCTAGGCCTTCGGATAACCTCTTTCCTTGATGCAGGGAACCCGTCAACATACTCTGGCTTCCACAGACCCTAGCTCGGCACAGTTGCTCGCAGCGTTCCGGAGGTTCTGCTACAACACCTAGGCAGGCCTGCATGGCGTGCGTCGACGTCACTCAAGAGTTTGATCTTCTCTCCCCCTTGCGCTTCTTGTGTCCGTTGCTAGCCACTCCGGACTCTTTGGTGGCAACCAAAAACTGGTTGGTCACCAGTGTAGGCCGGCCCGTAGTCTGCTTGTAGTCGTGAGGCCGTGAAAGTGAGAAGTCGATCGGGTTCCCAACTGTCCTGCTGGTTGAGTCATGGTTTGGAAACCTCCGGATCGCAGTTTTATCCGACTGAAATTCGAAGTCAAATCCGGCCGCTATGCTTCAGGAATCCATAAGTACGAGGTTCGGAGGGTCGGCACTTTGCATCAGTCGGGACGCATCTGTAGCCGAGCATTCATAGACTGCTTCGGATGTAGGGCCACCACCATGACCACACTATCGAGAACCATGGCACGCTTGCTTCGGGCTCGTCAATGCCGGTTCTGAGGTTGGAGTATTCTTCCCGCAGTTAGTATTTGCTCTTTGAAGCGTGGGATGATTTTAAAGAATACGGGTACAGACGTTATATAACGTGTGATGAGGCTGAAACCGGCCAGGAATCCGGCGTCCATCAAGATGGCTGGTTGACAAGCATATTAGATGCACCCTCAGAAGCCGGAGAGTATGCTCTTTCAGTGAAAACTACACTCATTCCGCTCTTGTGACTCGGTTTGTCCAACGCCTGTTGGTGGTGTGTTTGATGGAGGTGATTTTAGATGATAGTAATGGAAGATGGTGAGCTCCAGCTTTGAGCAGAAGATCAACCTGCAGCAAGGTAGGTGGCGAATAGTCTTTGACTAGCCGAACGAACGCAAGAGTGCCGGCCTCATACGGAGCCACCGTTGATCAAAAGAGGCACCGTATCCTTCCCTTCTGCTTCAGGAAGGACCGAAACGGAAGGCAAGACATTGCCACATGTGTAGAGTATTTGCCCACGTCAACGTGTCGAGGACTTGAGATCAAACGGAAGGCACATCAAAATGGAAGTAACGTCGGTTCGGGTTCACTGAAAGCCTCGAGCTGCTCCTCCTTCGGACAGTCTCCCCGAAAGACGGGAAGGTTCACACGGTTCTCACAGTTCTGAAACCTTTCAAGGCAGGCACCAGCAGAGAGACCGTCCACATACACGAGACAAGAAGGCATGAACTGTCAAGTTCCTTCAAATTTCAGAAATCGCATGACATGTGCAGCCTCAACTCTTTCCCCCCCGCTTTGACGTCTTCAGGTTGTCATGAAGGTTGGCCTCGCCGAATTAAGCACAACATCCAGCCTGCGTGAGTCTACGGCAATGGCACCGATTCAAGAATCTGGTGAACATCAATCCTCCGCGGCGTATGCAATAGTTCTTTCTACTGTACGATACCGATCAGCTCTCCATGAATATTCCGATGGAAAAGAAGATACAGTTCTCGCGAAACGTGTCTCTCTTGACAATGCTCTTTTGGGCTCGCACTAATAACAAACCGGATGTAGCCTAGATACTCAAGTGCATCGAACATTCTAATGGCTCGCGATAGCCATGTCTGGTTCGACCATTTATCCACCTAAGAAGCTCGCCTACAGACTGAACGATGTGCGGCAAGGCTGGTGTCAGCCGAATCTTTCGCCATTCTGGGGGAGGTCCCTAGGTTCAATCATCCTCGACCAACATTCAGCCGATGCCAACGTGTGTAGCCAACTACACTCCCCTCACAGTGCTCCGTTTGACTTCCCGTCGCATTTAGTTCCCTTTGATACCAGCCTTCCCGGAAAGTTTCCGAAGGGTCGAAGTCGAAGTGGAGGGGCGAGGCTTGCCCAAGTCCCTCAAGAAAAGACAAATAGCAACAGCTGAAAGGCTCAGTCTCACTCTTTCAACCATCCCAAGTTGGACACTCCAAACTATGGACAAAATAGGTCCATTCCACCGAGTATCACCAGGAACCCAACACGACCCAGCAGTTTCCATACAATAGTGTAAAAGATCTCACACTATGGCTTCCGTTCGTGGGTTGATCTGGTGGCCTATCTAGGACGCCCTACAAAGTCAAACTTGGATACCTATCGATCACATCAACATTGGCGTTGTAACGACGGAACCTGCAATGCTTCTCGGAAACTACACAATCTAACAGGACAGGCCGATACCTTAGTCGCAACTCCCCGCGTTGTCGAAGCCCTATATCTATCCGTATCAAGGCGCGAGTCACTGCGACGGTCCTGCTGTCCAATGTGGAGTCGGACCGGAAATCACGCGCAGAACTTCTCCTCGAGCGCGTCAGTTCGCCGGCCGCGCTCGGCAAAAAAAGTATGAGGTGGGATCGTCCTACCTACTCAATAAGGCATGTGGGCTTGCGGACGTCCGAACGGCAACCGTTCTCCGTAACGTAGGTGTGGACACACGGAGCAACTGGTGGTCTCCGACCCGGTCCGGCCACTCGTTGGTCAAAGATAACGAACTTTGTGGTTTGAACGGCGAATAGCAGTTTCTATGGTCTAATAATACCGTATCGACACGATTTGCCATGATGCTGAACTTCAACAAGAAACTCGAGAAGAGCGTTTGACCTAGGAGGATCTGATTCGGATACTCAGCTGCGGCAGACCGGCGCCGATTGACTAGCCCCATTTAACCCGGAGAAGCGAAACCAACTGCGGCCCCACCAACCCGCGCCGACCCCCCGGCACTGGCTCTAGGGGAACGGAAAACCATCCAATGGTAGCACATGAAACCAGCCAGCAGCGGCCCAAGCCCCGAAGAAATGGCACACGGCAACCGGGCACATCCGTTTCACACGTCCACGAACCGTCCAAACGGTTGCTCTTCCTCTACAGTTTGCCCTACTGGCTTCTGAGCGACAGTCACGTTCTGGCTCTGCCTTTGCCCGAAAAGATCAGGTGAGAAACCATGAATCCTTATCCAACGACAGCAAAGACTACGTCAAGTCGTCCCCCACAAACCGTAATCAAACTTCTCGCAACCGTATTTCCCATCTTATCAAGCTTTGGTAGCCACTGGAGCTTGAGGGGGGGGGGGGGAAGAAGGATGATGGTCAACACCTCTCGGAGCCCCTCCCCGCGTCGACGTCAGTAAACCACCAACCCAACTCAGTTCCTCCGATCCAGTGCCGTGCCGTCTGTCTCTATGTATTCCGTTCCGTTCCCTCCCCCTCCATCCACTGCCACCCACCATCTAGCTCTTCTGCCTCGGTTTCATCAAAGAAACCGCCCTATCATCGCCAAAGTTGCAACTCTACCCAAACGGGCCCACTCCCTGCTGACGTGCCATTGCTATCTCTAAGAGTCCAACGGGCGACCCAAGCAACCGGTGCGCCGGCGGAGGCTTGCCCCAAAAAAACCAACAGGCAACAATATCGCTGCCAGAGGCCATTCCCCCACCCGTCATAATCAGACAGAAGAGACGATCCAATGGTAATTGACTGCCTTTTTGTGAATTTTGACCTCGACCTTGCGGTAGCATGGCTTCGCAGATCGCGGTGGAAGTTTCCAACATCCTGAGCTTAACGTTGCCTCGATCGACTAATGGATCGTCAGCCATGATCCCTTCCTGCTCCCGTCTGTGCTCCCCGACTGGCCCACGTTCATTCGCCGCAATGTGTGTGTAGATGTCATGTCAGCCAAGCCTGCATATGCGCATACGTTACCAATACAAGTTTAAGCTGATTACGGTCAGGCCTAGGTCCATGTGTCATAGGAAGGAACGCCAGAAAAGATAACGAGGATGATGATGAGAGTCAGGAAACTTTAAATTTTTCTGGGACAACTACCCGAGTTCTGTAGGCCCACTGGTATCATCTAATGCCCGCCCCAATCAAATAGAAGTATGTACAGGGTTTGTTTGGACCTGTGTCCCTGTTACTGGAACGCAGACCCTTATCTGTCGATTAATGTGTGGAATACCACTTTTCCTCCTCTCTTCTATCGGCCTGCTGAAACAGTCTCGTCGTACTCTCGTGATTGTAGTGAAAACTCAAAAACGCCGGTTTGTGATTAAGGTTGATTGTAGGGGATGATGACTCGTCGAGGTTTCCGCAAACGGAGTGAGACGTCACGTCACGCCAAGCCTGCTCATGCTCATAGCGCGAACATGACAGCAGCGAAACCGGCAATCATGAGCGAGATGGAAGCGCCGCTGATCGAGGCGGCACCGGGGAACGGCACGATGGAGCTCGTCGGCGAAGAGGTGGCGGTAGGGGCGGCGCCGGTTCCGCTCATGGTCGCCGCGGTGGTGGTGGAGCAGTTGTCGTGCGAGTCGGGCTTGGTGATGAGCTTGAAGTTGGCGCAGCTGATGCGGGTCTTGTTGGCAAAGTGGAAGACGAAGCTGCGGTTGCCGAAGAAGGAGCCGGGGCCCTCGACGATGGAGAGGTACGGGTCGACGTAGGTCTTTTCGTAGTCGACGGCGACGGCGCCGTGCTTGCCGCTCAGGTCACCGACTTGGCACGTCTCGGGCTTGGAGCTGTCGCATTTGGTCGCCTCGCCGCGGATGAAGGGGTCGAGATGGGCGAGCGTCTTGGTGCAGTTGCCATCTTCGGGGACGGGATCGACGTGGAGGTGGTAAGCTGGTAGCTGTTAGTCGCTTCCAAAAAGAAAAAGAAAAAAAATATGAAGCAATGAACGTACTGAAGGGACCGCCCTCCTTGGGGAGGTTCGAGAATCGGACCTTGAACTCGACACCCTTGCCGTCGGGGGCAGTCACGGCGACGATGGAGCCCTGGACGTTGCCCTCCAACGAGCCTGCCTTGTAGAAAGGCTTCTCGGGAAGGACGGCCTCGTAGACAACACCGGCCGAGTTGGAGACGATGGTGGCATTACCAAGTTCCTGGGAGTCATGTTAGTTGATACCGGCAGGTGACATATACATGTGGTGACATACACCAGTGGACTGGGCAGCGACACGACCGACAACCGCGGCGGCGATGATGGAGACGATGGAGAAGGACTTCATTTTGGCGATGATGATGTTGTCGTAATATCCTAGGTTGCTGGGGAACGGGATAAAATTGGTTGGAATGCGGCGAGCGTTGATCAAGGGCGAGCTTGTAAGGTTGGGGTGAAGTGAAGGGTAAGAGGGGTTGGGAGAGCTTCTTAAAAGAATAAGAGACCGCGGGGATGCCCAGACCAAGTGATGATCCAACTGGGGAGGTAATGAGCGTAGGTTGGAGATGGAAAGCTAATAAAGAGATCTGCCAACGGCAAGAAGGTATGGGTTGCGACTCTTTATGGCCCCCCCACACACACTCACACGAGAGAGAGACTCGAGAGAGAGATGTGATGAGGATAGGACCAACGACAGCCCCCAATGTCACGGTAGCTTGGCACCCTTCAGTAAGGTATGTATGCAGTATGCCAACGGCAGGGTGAATGAACACACCCCGGCTGCGCTAGCTCCAGATTAATCAAAGAAAGGAACGAGAGTCAAGAGTAGGCCATAACATCGGATGCTTTGAGCCATGATAGATTCCGTACCACCCGGGGGGGGGGGGGGGGAGAGGAGTGGAAGGGGATGGAGAAACGGCACCTAGCCGTCAGCGCATCTAGGCGAAGGAGAAGAATGTTTCTCTCGCAAGGTACGTATCGAAGCTTTGCGCTGCCGGGGTGGACCTTGTGCGCCCTGTGCTACGAGAGAAGAGATGATGGAAGGGCAAGCTGCAAGCTGCAAGAGGGAGAAGGAGGGCCAGGGGTTGGGGAAGGGGTTGGGGAAGGGGGGACGTCAAAGAGGCAAGGCAGGCAAATGAGGTTGCGGGCGGTAGAAGGGAACGTCTTGCTCTTTCGTGAGTCGTGATGGGCAAAGGAAAGTTCAACTCGATGACAAGGAGACAGGCCATTCATTGCCTCAATAGCCGACGGAGTTTACCTTACTGGTACGGAGTACGGATACTTCGGTACGGGAAGCGGAAGCGAACACCACCTCCTCAGTACTGAATCTATAGTCAGTAAGTATTCGTATGAACAGTAAAGTACTCTGTCCCTGTCCCTGTCCCACGCCTAGAGATCTCCATGACAAGCACCAACCTCGGGACTTTTGATAGTGTAGCTGTAAGGGCTGGCAGGGGCGGCAAGGCGAGGAAAGGAAACACACAGAGATGGCCGGAATCCTGGTAGGCATCTTGCCCGATTTGGCAACTCGCTTGCTGGGATATGGTGCGGGAGCAGCAGCGGAGGGTAAGACAGGCGATGAGCTCGCGCCAGGAGCAACCGGAGGGATGGGCAGAAGGGAAATCCGTTGGCTGCAACGGGGCAGACAAGACTGGGGTAGGGAACTCTTGAGCTCTGGGCTACATTGCATGGAACACAAAAAAGACCAAAAAATAAAATAAAAATAGGCGGTTGGTGATGTCTGACTTTGTTTTCCCATGCACTGCGCCACCTGGGAAACCCATCTTGCCCCTGCCAATCAGAAATAGATTGCACGCTCCAAAGAAACGTGCCAACGGCGAACACAAGTTCGGGGGCTTTTGAGGAGGCATCACGCAGCACGCAGATGCGTGTTGTTGCTGAACATGCAGATAGCCGCTGAAAGAGCAGCGCAAGGCTGACGAGTCGGTGGCTATGGGGAGAGGCAAGACAGCGAAGCAGTGTCACTACATGTCATGTTCCAACCAAACAACAGTAGTCCAAGAAATGCGCTATAAACGTAGACAAGAGGCGGAAGCGGCGGTTACCCAGCCTGCCTCCTGACACAGTCCCGATATAGTCCGCCTTGTTGCCGGTTTGAACGATGGAAATGAGCCTCCACGATGCTCTTCCAACAGTGGTAGACTTGATCCTTGACCAGAGTGAAATCTCCGCAGAGGACTTGCGGGCGCATGAGCGTGTGACGGGCTATGTCGGTGTTGGTAGGATGAGATGCCCATGATGACGATACTGATGGTTGTGATATTGGTGTTGGGAATGGCAGTCGAGATTAAGGTGGTGGAGACGAAATGGCATCCTGGGGGGCCTCGCTTCAGGCCGCCATAAGCTGTGGGCCAGTGAAAAGTCGGTGTTTCTCAGCGTGCCCATTGTTGAACACCCCGACGACCCAACCAACTTCCAGCTGAGCGCTCCCGATGCGAGTTATGAATGACATATGTGAGCCCGGATGCTCTTCCAGATGCCTGTCTGCTGCATCCAAGCGCGCTGTCTCCTTCGCTCAGATGAGTCCATCCGTCCCTCACTCTTACCGCATGGTATCCGTTAAGGCGCGTTTTGAAAGACAACGGCTTCTGCGAGGTTCCGTATTCGCCTACCCGTCCCTTCCATGCCCTAGGGCCTTGATACAGACTGCTCCCGGTGTGACAGGGGCTAATGAACGGCCCCCCGTAGACTCAGCACAGTTTGATGCCAGTCGGAAGCGGGGACAAAGAGAAATGTGGTCGCTGACTGGAGATTTGGGGGTAGCTAGCTGCAGACACTGGAACTCTGACGATGAACACCACCCAAACATTTGCTCTTCGCCCCCAACGCTGGCCTGACTGGCTGGCTGGTTGGCTTTCTTCTCCTCTGTGCCTCTCTCTCCCCTTCCAATATGTTTCAGCAAGCCCACCCCCGGGCCCTTGGAGTTCGTCCAGCCCAGTTGGACCAACACATCCAGCCAAAGAACAGCTCGGGATGTTTCTTTCAGGTAAGGCGACTGTCGGTGACGATGTTCCCGTGACCAGCCGTGCCGCCTCCTTTCCAAAGCCATGCGGTTGGACTGGGGTTGATAAACCACATTCAATTTCGGACTGTGAAATTGGCTCGCAAACATGCCGCTGAAGCTTTGGGGCTGGGCAAAGCTCAGGAGACTCGACTCGGGCTATTGTCCATTGGCGAAGCGCAAACATGCCTCAAACCACCAAGGAGAAAGTGTGTAGGGCGCAAGTTGTGCGAGTGTGACACTGGAAGATGCTTCCCCGAACGAACTCGCATCCGTCCTCTTGTGTGCGTGCTGTGCCACCTTCACCTTCCTTGCCTTGCCCGCCCCAAATTATTCCAATAGAGTGCTTGTCGCATGCTAATTATCGATAGACTCACCTTGTTGCCCTGGCACCCTGCCCGCCCGCACTGGTTGGTTGACAAAGTTTCAAGTTTCATTCCGAGCCGAAGGGCAGCGTTACTAGCGCTGACCGGCTGGGGGATGCGTGGGAAGCTTTCGGCGCCAGTGCCTTGCAGATCGCTTACGACTCTTGGCATTCCAACCCTGGTTTCCCGATGCAGTCCACCAGTCACCACGTTGTAAGACAAGGTCTTATTGGGCCCCCCTGGCCCTGGACCACCTCTTCCAAAGGCTGATGAGCGCTAGCAGCTCGAGCGAGAGAGTACGGATATTCAGGGCAGCGTGGAGTGGGATTGTTCCGATACTCGGTTGTGTAGAACCATCAGAGATGCGCCAACCTTTGGCGGTGTTTCGAAAAGGGTGCAGCCGTCAACTGCAGAGTGTTCTCGCCGTGTGGGAATGGTTTCCTTATTCGTAGCTAAGCTTGGGTCGAACACCACTCCTAGAGTCGAATGTCTCTCTGTCTATGACCTGAGCCTGCCTGCTCATCCTATCCTGTCCACCTCGCAACACCTTTTCGTCATTCATGCAGCAGTGACGGCTATCGTCCCGTTTGCGCGATCGGCACCTCTGTGCCATCGTCGTCAGAACGTTCTCTCTGCCGACATGACGAAAGATCAACGCTTAGTGTGGACGTGGGTACCTACCTCACGCAGAGGAGGAGAGACATGTCTCTTCTGGGAGGTGCGTCTTCGGGGATGCACAAAGGACAGGCCAAAGGTCTGTTCACCTTTTCTGAGAGCTTCCGTGTACTGCCAGAGTTTCAAAAGAAACAAAATCTGGTGATACCAAAAGTTTGGCGATTTCGTATCGTTCCGTTCGGAGGTGGACCACCCGTCTGGGTCCAAAGTTGTGGTTTCAGCTTGTCATGTCACTGCCCAAGCGATGAACACATTGGCGGCCCTGCCGTTTGGCTGCTTTGCCAGCCTGATTCCAGACTAGGCAACATATACCGCCCAGTCAACCTCTTATCAGGCGAACTGCTGCCCACTGGTCCTGTCAGTGTCGGTGACAAACGGCCGTCTCTTGGCATTCCATCTTTGAGGTTTAAGCTTCTTCCACATCGATGCACCGTTTTCTCCACAATCTGGTGGGCTAGAACCGTTCGGACTTTGAGCAGAGCCTCTACCTAGTACGGATAGATAGCACAGCACACGGTTCCCAAGGTGTCAGGTGACGGTTTAGCACGTCTAGCTCAGACTGGCCTCGGGCTCGATTCTTCGTTACGCTAGACCTGGAGACAGGAGTTGACTCGTGCGGCTCCTCCTCATGGGGGTTTTTTAACCGCTTCTCAATCGGAGCTCTTGCGCTTGGAAATTCCATCGTCGTTTTCAAGTCGTTCGTATTGCCCATGGTCGGGGTAGAGGGAACGTGTTTCAGGCTTCAGGGTTCTGAGCAGACGAAACCTTTGGGGGCCGACTTTGCCTATCGTGAAAGTCCATGTGGGACGGCAAGGGCGGCCATGTCGGATCCTTCCGGCTAGGAACCTGAGGCGGCTAACGACTGTAGTTCAACGGCAGAGCTTCGTATTGTCCAAAACCATGGTTGATCGGGGATGGGTCTGCTGCGATCTCGCGGGGACGATCCGATGCACCTCGAGACCCGGGAAGGACCATATCCGTCCAAATTCGGCGTCACAAGCAGAGATTTCTTAGACAGCAAGTACAGAAGTGCAGATGGGATATGTCGATCTTGAATCTTAAGCTGCTTTAGTGTGAAAACGAACATGTGTGCAGAACAAGTACCTAGTAGGATGATTGAGTTGCAGCGGAGAGGCCCGGGCACAGAGTTGCGAGCGGCCCCACCCACGCCGGCAAGTGGCCGGACAGACGGGAACCTGTATGATCTCGGCGGACCTTTCTTCCGTTCCGCATGTGGCTGGTACGTGGCCAAGGTTCAAGTGTGGCTGCAACCTCAAAGCCTGGTTAGTCAGGCGAGGCTACTGGACGTCACCGAACTGGTGTGGAGCTCGGCGAGATAGGTAGCAACAGCAACAGCCTCGACCATCGCGACCACTGCCAACGACGCAACGAGTACGCATTCTTGCTCCATCAAACACATCGTCAAGAACCCAAGCCTCCGCCGCACACCGTCAACATGAAGCCCGTCGTTGGTGCCATGCAAGCATGGCAATGGTACGCCTTCCCCCGATGTAGTACCCCCTAGAGCCAAGCTCTCCCGAATACTAATTCGTCCACGTTCGACAGCACTGTCATCTCCGTTTTCGCGATTGTCATCCTCGGTGTCCTCGGCATTCTTTTCAAGCAAAACCACCCCGAGCTCGTCGGCAGTGAGGAGGACCCCAAGGACGGTAGCGCTGTTGCGGGCACCATCTTCGTTTCTGTCATGATCTACGTCGTACGTCACACGCCCTATCCCGCGCAAATCAGCACAAGGAGGCTTCTGAAGGATGAGATTGCTAACTGGCTATAACTAGGGGTTCTTCGTTTTCTGTGGCCTGCAGGGCCTTCTCCACGTCCGGGAGAATCGACGAGGCGCGATCGCATTGTAATGATACGAAAGGAGAAGGGTGGTTATTGGAATGTGCAGAGCATGGCATCAAAAACACATTATGGTTTTCCTGGCGTTTGGCATCACGTTGTTGAAATTTTGTAAGGCACAGCTCAGGCACCCGCCTCTGACTTCGACGGGCTTCCCGGGCCGAATGAGAGGAGGGGGATTAGCTCTGTTGAGGAGAGCGTTGGTCCAGGACCCGAGCTTGTAGTTGTTAGCATATCGCTACGAAAGAGCAGAAGGGGATTTGTTGTTGTATTGTTTGACGCCGGTGAGTCCCGTAGGCATAGGGCGTTCGCGTCGTCACCTAGCTGTAACTATTTCTCTAAATACAAGATCATTGATATCAGATGTTCCACCATGCCGACAGTCAATCCCGCATTGATCGCCGATGTTGAACTGGAAAACCGCTAATGTAGGAACAGAAGGGGAGCATGGTCGGACGCCCAAGCACTTAGAAGTTACTGTACGTGGTGATCAATACCATCCAAGCCGGAGTGCCTCCCGCCTGCTCTTGACAACCACGTGCCACCTCACCCGTAGGCAACCGCACCTTCGGAAAATTTCCTAGAGATGCAGATCGCCGGACGCCGGGGCTGAGGCAGCTTGGCCGGGGCAGGCCGCAGACCGACCAAACGGGCTGGGCAAAAGACTCAAGCAAACTTGTTCTTCTGGGCCGAACCATTCGTACGTCCTTACAGAAAGATGGTTTGGTGATGATCCCGAGTAGGCAGAGCCAATCATGACGAGTTTTAGAGCCCCATCTTGTGGCTACTTTGACGTAGTTTTCCCTTTCCCCCGCCCCCCCCCCCCCTCCCCCCAAGGATCCGAGGAACCGACACCGAGTTTTCGGTGTCGCCGCTCCCGCTAGCTCGAAAAGCCAATTTGGACTTTGTTCGGACTCCGGAGCAGGAGGGCGAAAAAAAGGATGGGCGGAGAACTTTCCGAAGCGTGTCAGCTCGAGGCGAAGGACGAAAGGTGCAAGTCGGAATTCTGAAGAGCAGCCACAGCAGCATATCAAGAATTGGAGCATAATCTCCAATTCAGTCACTCCTCCACGCGCGTGCGGCTACTACTAATAATAACATGTGCCTGGACTGTTGTTAGAAACCGAGCTCGTGACTGGCTGGTTGCTCGGTAGAGTTATCATCACGTAGGATCATCAAGTTTGTCCCCGTCGCCCATATGTCTGGGAAATCCGGGGTAATGCTCTGCTAGTCATCCCGCGGGTATCAACTCCAGTAAAACAAGTCTAAGGCTACTCGAGATTTCTCATCTAATATATACGACCGTCAGGCGAGGAGATGGGATGAGGCATCGAGCGATTCACGAGGGAGGACAAGAGTGTAGATTTCAGTCTCCTCGACCACTGAACTTGGAAGAGCAAAGAACAGCGCAAAGGAATGTACTACACTGGAAAGTGCAAAGTTGCATGGGCAAATTTTCTTACGCCCCAGCTTTTACTTACACAGCTCGCCAGGCTTTCGCCCTCGCTTTTTCGGGCTTGCAAAATTCGCGCAATTGCCAAGCGACTACCAACACTGGCGCCCCGGCCTAGAACCACCATATGGCATATTCCATGGCCGCCCCGGACGAAGGCGAAGCGGACCTGGCCATATGAATTGCGCAATCCCGAGGCACTGCCAATAGAGGAAAACAGGGCCAGCCGCCAAACGGGGGGTTTTCAAGTCAAGTGTTCACGAATTGATCGAATGACGCCGGGGTAGGTAGGTAGTTTCTGCAACCTCAAGTATCCGTAATGCAATGCACCCATGGCCAAAGAGGATGCAAAAAAATCCGGGGTAAGACTGACTGCAGCATTGCAGACCCTCTCGATTCCCTGCCGTTGAATTCCACACCGAAGAGAAATCTTGCGAAGGCCTGCGAAGGCCCATACGATCCCATTGCCTCTAGTTTACTTGAAGATGTTGACGAATCAGCCCTACTTCATTTTTTGCTTCTTGCCGTACTGCTTCATCTTGATTCTCGCCACACCGAATGTGCGTTTCACACTTACACGCAAGGCTAACAAAGACACAGCAAAAATGCAACCCCCCCTTACCCGCGTGTCTACCATGAGGCACAAAGCGAGCGACTAAAGAATTGCCATCAAGTGACTCGAATTCTCAAGCCAAAAACTGCAATGGCACCATTCGGGACTTTACCTGTTGTGGCCCCGTATCCTGGCGGGGAGGAGAAAAGCTGTTCGTGCCTGGTCTTATTTAGCGGGTGCGTGGTGTTTTCGACTGGATGTCGTTATTTTCATTACGTTTTAGTTTGTCAACGTTTGCCCCTCCACACACCGTGAACCACCCCCTCTCCCATGACTCTCTCCGCGAACGCCTTCGAGGCCTCGTTTCGTTTTTCTTCCTTCCCCCCGGCTACAGAAATTTTCTGGCTTGGCCCCTCTTCTCCCGCCAGCGCGGTTGAGACGCAAGTTCTCCACCGCTAGAGAGAGAGAGAGAAGAAGAAGTTACGGAAGAGCACCTGGACAGATCGGTGGACCAAGAGGCCAACAAACATGGAAGCTCAAGCAAGATCGTCGCCGACCGAGGCCGTGCGTGGGCAGCGAACGCAGCGTGCACACACCCCGGGGATGGTCGCGTATGTGGAGAAGCCAGCCAGCCAAGAGCCTGTTGCAAAAAGAATGATTGTCCTTGTGATCAACTTTTTGGCTGGCGCACCCTACTACGTCAGGCAGGCCAAGGATGACTTGCGCCGAAGTTGGGAAAGGTCGCGCAATAGTTGCTGCTTGCAGCCGAGAATCCCATCCTTGCTCTGCTCCGCGGGAGGGAACGGGAAGCATAGGTAAAACAAAGACTGGACCAGACAGATATTGTGTGCTGCTGTTGTGTGATCCTTCTCGAGTTCCTATAAAGCTCCTTTGTCCCGTCAGGCACCACCCCTCTAGCTCGCCCATTCCTACCATACAGTCATACATACACACGTATAAACCGGAGAATTGCATTCTTGAGAGAAATCACAGAGTCATACTTTTGCTTACTGCATTATTCGCATACCAATTCAACTCGACATTCCATCCAAAGAGCAATTGCGCTTTAGACTACCTTGGACGGAACAAAGTCCACGAAACATTTCCCGAATCTCACAGAGACGTTTACTGCACACTTTCCCAAACCACACCAAATCTCACCTCACAGCCCCCCGAAAATGCTTGCCTCACACGGACGCGGCGGTGCCGGCAACATGGCCGACACCTCAAAGTCGCCCAAGATCACCCCCAAGGACCTCGAGACCCCGACCCTAAAGACATCCGTCGTCACCACGGGCCGCGGCGGAAGCGGAAACATGGCCAAGAACGCCGACCCTTACGAGACTCGTTTGCGCCAGGACGTTGAGGGGTAAGCTCATTCCTAATTTGAATCTTAAGAGAGAAAGAAGGGAGAGAATGGAAAAGCTGACAAGTGGGGGTTTCTCCAGTGTCCCACGACGCGAGAGTGCCGGCGCATCTCACTTTGGACGCGGCGGTTCCGCCAACGTCTTCAAGGGGTCACCCGAGGAGGAGGCCGCGGCCAAGAAGGCAAAGGCCGAGGGCGCGAGCGCCGTCGACGACGACGATTCTTCTTCTACCCTCCGCAAGAGCAAGAGCCCGTCGCCGCGCCGCAGCTCCGAGGAGAACGCCAACGGTCTCGCCGCCAAAGGCAAGCAATGGTTCAACAACCTGACCAAGAAGGCATAAAGCCCTCTCATCTGCTTCTCTTCTCTTCTCTCTCTTGATTTCGCGCCTCAATTGGGGGCGAGGCTTACGTCTACGATGTATCTCTTCTCGGTATGAGGAGTCATTAGCGATGGCGTACTGTTGAATTGGTGATCGCGCTTGGACGCCATAGGGTGTTGATGCCTTTTTCATCATTTCTGCGACTCGAATGTCCAAGAGGACCATTTCTTCATCGGGGCATCATTGTACAGCCCTTTGGCGACGGAGTTTCATGGACCGGGGGAAAAAAAAAAAATTCTTTTTCGGAGGCAAACAATAGTGTCGCTAATGGTCAGCGACTCTTGTTTGAAAATGTTGAAACGACACAAAAAAAGTTCTTGATACCACGGTTTGATATGATTCAAGGGCAATTACGATACGGGAAGGAAAAGCATAATGGAATCTTTACTTTTGTTCATTCAACTTGCTCGTGCTCAAGACCACTCACTGCGTGCCTTGGACCATGAGTTTCTTCGTCTGGCACTTACACTGAAGCACAATATAAAGCCATGAGACTTGAAGTTGCCATCGTTACGATTTTGTTTCCCTCCACTCATGAGGTTTTATCAGAGGGTTCATTTGATTCGACAAAGATTGCCCTAGTGCACTACCATCTCTAGGATGACGCCTTGGAACATTGATGCTCTGTCACTGTACTTCACTCCTTTTTCAATACGCCTTGTAGTTTGTGACTTGATACTTGAATTTCCACCTTTTTCCAACCATCATCTGCAGCTTTTGGTTTTCATCTCCCACCGACCGACTCATTGCCCTGCTTAGTTCTTCGTCAAACGGTGAATTTCCGACAGATAGAATCGGAGATCCTCAGGATTGACGCCCGGGGTGATGCCTAGTATGACATTGTTAACCTTGTTCATTTTCCCCTACAAAATGCAGTGAACAGAAATGACCGCAACGACTTACCGTGGCCGAGGTTTGCAATCCACCCCTTCTTTCCGTTACCGTAGAAGCCCTTGACCATGATCTCGACGGCCTCCGTCATGCGCTCGTGGGTACCGTACAAAACGCCAGGGTCGGCGTTGCCCTGGAAACTAACGCGCCTGTCGCCGCGGATCTTGACAGCCTCGGCGGGGTCTTGGAGCCAGTCGAGACCGATGACGTCGTAGCCAATGTCAATGACGGAGTCGAGAGCGTGCCAGGCGCCCTTGGGGAAGACGGTCATGGGCACGCGCTCCAGGTTCATCTCGGCGAGCTTCTTGGGGAGGTTCTCGGAGATGTAGGACAGGTACGGCTGGCTGAACTCCTTGAAGGCCTCGGGGCCGAGCTCGCCGGCCCACGAGTCAAAGACCATGATCATCTGGGCGCCGGCCTTGACCTGCAGGGCGAGGTACTCGACGCAGACCTCGGCAATCTTTTGCAGGAGCGCCTTGGACTCCTCGGCGTAGCGGTAGATCCACGTCTTGCTCTGCATGAAGAGCTTGGTGCCGCCACCCTCGACCATGTAGCAGAAGAGCGTCCAGGGGGCGCCGCAGAAGCCGATGAGGGGCACGCGGCCGGCGAGCTTCTTGCGGGTGAGGGTGATTGCCTTGTAGACGTAGTCGAGCTCCGAGGCGACGTCGACGTTCTTGGCCAGGACCTTTTCGTACTGCCCGTCGGTCGGGGTCTTGAGCGGCTCGGGGAAGTGGGGACCCTTCTTGTCGACCATCTCGACGGTCATGCCGAGGGCCTGGGGCACGACGAGGATGTCGGAGAAGATGATGGCGGCGTCGAGGAGGCCGGCGAAGCGCTCGATCGGCTGCAGGGTCAGGGTACTGGCGACCTCGGGGTCACGGCAGCAGGCGAAGAAGTCGCGGGTGCCCTTGGCCTCGTGATACTCGGGGAGGTAGCGGCCGGCTTTTGTTCAGGTGTCAGGAATTGGCTGTCCATTTATTCATGTCCTGTTTCTTAGGATGGAGCAAGGGGAGTTTCGGCATTACCTTGACGCATGATCCAGCATGGCGGGCGCTCGACCGTCTCGCCTGGATTGAGGAGGTCAGCATTCGACTAGAGGCATGGAATTGGGGGGGATTGATACTCACCTCTTGCTGCCCGCAAGAGCAGGTCATTCTTCAATGGCTCAAATGTCAACTCCATCTTGTCGGCCTGCTTTAGGATTGAAGATGCTGATGGCGGGTGTTGGAGATGCCGTTACGCGGATCATCCAAAAGTGCCCCGCGGTTCGGTCGCTGCAAAAACCCCGCCAAAGCTTCAGGTCCCCCCCCGTCCACCGCTTCCTGTGCGCCACTGCCGCTCTGCACGTCGCCGAGGCAGCCGGTCCGGGAGGTGCACCAGCCACATTGGGGCTTGACTCCGACTTTGGGGTGGGCCCGCAATCCAAAGCTCTTTCGACCTCCCTGGCAATTTCCATATGTCGCTTCTCTTCAAACAGCTCCGAATCAGCCTCCGTCGAATCAAAACGAGCCAATTGGCAATACCCACCCGGTTCTGAACACGAAAAAGCAGCTTCACGATCCGAACGACAATGCCATAGTTCGAGCACGATCAATTGATAACCCTCCGCGCCATTGCCCTTCGACCCCTTCGCGACGAGGGCCCCAATGCCGCCGTCACGACCAACCGTCCGATGCTGCCGGGCCGTCCAGCAACAGCTTCAAGCTTCGCCCGACCACGTATGGATCACGGATGGTCTGCTGGCGAGCGCCTTTGAGCGCTACTGCCACGTATCACGCCTCACGCGACGGAAGTCGAGCTCTGTGCCCGGCCCGCTGGAGAATCGAAGACGACTGGGCAAGAGGAGGATGGCAGAAATGCACATGGACGGACACTCGACCCTACCACCCTGGGCCATTGAGTTCCCGGTCGATCTGAGTCAATGGAAGTGGCAACCGCCGACCCTACGTACATCAAAGGACCAGAGGGATGACCTACAGAGCCAGCAAAGTCAATCTCTGCTATCTCGCGTTTACAGATGGTCGGTGTCAGAACATCAGATGAAAGAGGAGGAAGTAGATCGGAATGGCATTGAGAATCCGCCAGCCTCCACATTCGACGACCGGCTGTCTCAAGCCCGAGCCGCCGTTGCGGCTTCGACACAGAACGCGATCGACTCAGGTTACTACGACTTTGTCGAGGGGCTTCAGAAGGAAATCAAATTGGGTGCCCTCGATCCCGGGGCCGTGGCCTCGGCTGTTTCGAATTTTCCCGAGTCTTTGATCGGTACAAGCGCTGACGGCGAGACGGTCAGCACAGCCATTGAGCTGTTTCTTTCGGCCGTTGTCAACGGAATCGCAACTTCCAAAGTTTTGGGCCCGGCAGAGTTTGATGCGAGCTTTTGGAATCTTGTGCTGAATCGGACGTCTCAGCTGGGGGCCAATGACGCGACGATTCTCCTGTTCCAGGCTACGCTCGATGCGGTCCCTCGCTCCTATATCAACGATGTCCACGAGGGCATCATTGCGGCAGTGCAAACGCTAGCCGTGTCTCAGTCGACGGGGCGCAGACGGGCCGCGGATATTGGCGGCGCGCTCCGCGAATTATCACCCGACGACCACGGCGTGCTTCTCGAGGGGATCGAAAACGCACTCTACCATGGTTCGGCAGTCTTTGAGGAGGGAGCCCGCCAAAGACTTCACTTCCTTTGGCTGCAGGTCTTGGCACACATGCCGCGGGTCGACTCCGCTTATCTTTTCGACGCTTGCGTCAGGTCCGAATACTTTGACCGCGAATTGCCCTGGCACGACCACCGAGACCTTAGCCAGCTCGTCCTCCAGCAGTGGACTAGCCGTGGGTACCTAGGTGACCACGAGGCTGTCAGAGCATTCTGGGATTGCGAATCTTCCCGACATGCAAGTTCGAGCCTTGCAGCCCTGGTAGCCGGTATCTGCGAAATCGAGCACGACAAACCGAAGCATCTAAGGAGGGAGCATGTGTGGTTAATCAAAAACCTCATGAAGCTGCTGAGACGCTTCGGCCGCCAGGACCAGCTGGTCGTCTCGATGGAGCGCTTTGCGGAATCCAGAGATACGATACCTGTCATGCCGTTCATGCGCGTCGCTTCAGCCAGTCACGACTACAAGACGGCTCTCAGGCTGAGGTCGATTTTGCTCTCTCACGAGGAGAAGCTCGAGTGCCGAATCGAGTCGCAGTGGCATTGGACGGCTTGGGTGCCCTACATCAAATCCATGGTCAGAGACGAATCGGTCTCATCCTGGGACATTTGGTGGGCGGTTCACTGTGGAGACGGCAAGATGAAGGGATACGCAGCCAAACGGCACGACCTCTTCATCAGGAGGAAAGCTCTCATGGAAGACATGACAATGTGGTTCGCGAGCGCGACAAACAGGTCAGAGAGGAGCACGTTTCGGGACATGTCAAAGTGCATCAACTGGCTCCGGAACAACAAGGTGCCGCTCAGCGACCGGTCGATGGCGGCCGTCGCCAAGGTGGCCACGCGGGAGCTCAAGAGGGGCGAGTTCGGGCGGACTCAACGCCTGCTCTGGTTGATGGATGTTATAGGACGGGCCAAGGGACCTGAGCAGAGAGCCCTCGTCGCTCGGGTGCTGCAACGGTGGAGGCAGGCCAATTCTGAGCTAGAGAGGAAGAGGTGCCGAGAGGCTGAACGGGTGCCGGACGCTGAACGGATCAGAGAGGCGATTAGGGCTCCGGAAAGGAGTGGGTGGTAGGTAGATGGCTAGGTTGTTTGGGGAGAGAGAATAAAACACACCCACACACAAATTCACACACATACACATTCAAAGATGAAGCCATTTGGTCCCGGCAATAAAGACGTGAAAGGGGGGGGGGGAGACAAGGTGACGACGAGTGAGTAGTGAGACAGAAGGCAAGTACCCGAGGCAATTAATTACCCATTCTACAACAGCAAAGAAGGCGGCACGGCCCAGAGCGATTGGAATTCTGCAATGGGAGAGAGAGGAGAGACAGGGTCCCTTGTTCCGTATCGCGCGCGGGAGCTGATTCGATTTCGTCTTTGCCACGAGAGAAAATTACCCTACAGCAGCCGCAGCACGAACGCTGGAATGTAAAGGCAACTCGGGCTCCAAAGGAGACGACGCCGCACGGCATTCCATTGGCCTCCTTTTTGACGGCTTACGGACTCTCGGCCGGGTCGCAAGGTTGATGGGAGTGTGTGTGAGTGTGTCGATTTTTTGGCCGCATGCGTACAGAAAAGATTCATGTTGGTGTGCGGGTGGGTACACACACGTTTCCCTTCCGGTCCTCGAGACTGAGAAGTCGCGAAAAGTCTCGTGCTTTTTTTCCTTTGTTGAAATGGATGAGACAGGGTTCTTCATCTAGTTGCTCCAAGAAAAAACCTTGATTTGTTTTCCCATTGTTCGCTGTTGTAAAATGGTTGAATTCAAGATTTGTTTGGATTCATGAAATTTGGTCCTTTCACGTTTTGGGTGTTGGTTTGTCTCTCGTCGCCGGTGGTTGTGTTTGTTCTTGCGGGCGGCGCACAAGGTAAGATAGGTAGGTTGGATTTGGTGGGCTTGTAGTTCGTTCGGCGCCGCCCGGTTGACTGACACTTCACCCCCGGGACGGACGGGAGGCGGAGGGAAAATCAGTCATTTGCGGCCCACGAAACGGGGAACGCGGCCGGATGACTGAAGCTAGGCGAGTTGGATGGGCTCAGAGAGGGTGAGAGGCACCTACCGTAGGCAGCTAGGTAGGGTGGCGGTGAAGAAGGACTCGAGGGGGCGAAAGCTTTGCAAAGGAGTAGGTAGGTCATGTATTGCGTACCTTACATTAGGGTCCTTTTCCAGTCCAGGTACACATGCTGGGCAGTAGCAGAAAGGGTTCGACATTTGGTGAAAGAGGGAGGGAGGTAGACTCTAGCGTCAAGGAAACGGGCAAAGTTTGTTAGTGGACGGGAAGCCGGGATATTCGGGTGAGAGGGGGTGGGCCTCGGAGAGATGGATGGATGGGATGGATAGAAAGAGAGAGAGAGAGAGAGAGAGAGAGAGAGAGGTGATGATGCTGCTGCTGCATTTGGATCCGCGTTAACCATTTGAGGCTCCCATTTCGCCAGGTCGGGGAGTGGAGCACGCATTGTCTGTGGATGAAGAGTTGAAGAGAAACGAAGATGGGAGGTCTGGAATGCGTGGAAGATGGATGGAAGCGCCATCGTTGATTAGGTTTGGTCCCTTGTGGAGTACTGGAGCTACCTGCCTTAGCTACGCAGCACGCAGCATGGTGCTATGGAGTATTATTACGGACTCGAGAAGGGACTGACTTGCGACACCTGCGGATGGGGAATGAAAGGAGGGGCGACGTATCTGCATGGCATTCGACTCTTTCTCAATGGATGGATTCGGGGCAGCTCATGCCTAAATCGTAACATTTGTTGGACAAATTTTTGCTCATCGAGGTGGGGGGTTGACTGGCGGCGGAGGCGGGCACTGCGGGCAGAGAGATTGAGGATCCAAGATGTGATGGGCAGGGGGAGGTGAGGGGGAGGATGCTGCAACTTCTTGGAGCTAATACAACCTGCCCTGGAAAGTACATGCTCTGTACGGTTACTCCGTATGTAGATGAAGGCAGCGGCAGCAAGAGATATGAATACAGGGCAGGGAAGGAGAAGGGTTCGGCCGAGGCATAACTGGCGTGCCCCTTCCATCTCCCCCAACTGTCCCTCTTGATTACGTGCAGCAAAGATGAGCACGCAAAAAGAAAGCAAAGGAAAGCGAGATGGGAGGGCCGCGTCCAGTCAGAGGGCGTAGACGGCGTCGGTTCGCGACTGATGACATCGAACTCGACTGACATTTGCCGTAGGCCCGTTGAGGCGACATTAGCCTCCTCTGACCTTTATATGACCTTTGCTCAGACCAAACGTGGCACGCGTGGTTGGGGGCCCGCCGTCTATCAATCCATTAGACTCAAGTC